TCTCCATTATAGTAGGTACCCCCAATTTTGGGAAACCCCCCACAGAACCGGCCATGACCGAGGTGGGACGAGGCATTACCAGTCTGGGCATGAAGGTCTGTTGCTGTCCTCCAACCGCCGAATCGCTTCCTTGGTATCAAACTGCGCTGCAACGAGGTATCGTCGTAGAAGTCCTGACGAGGCAAGCAGAACTCAAGCGTGCCGCGAACTGAGAAAAACGGAATTTCCCGGCCTTGAACATCAATGGTGAAATACGGGTCATCAATCACAGCAGGATAAAGACCAGCCTGCCTCCAAACGTACGCAAAACCCTTGCAACAAGTTGAGCTGTCTGGGTGCAGTGCAATTTTGGCAGCACGGACCACACTCCCAGGCACTTGTGCAGCTGAGGGGCAATCGTTCGTGGAGCACGGACCATTGCCTGCCCATGTATGTGCAAGTGCCTTACTAGGGAGACCCCAAGATAGACCCAAATACGATGATCCTTCTTATAGGGACCCCCAATAAGGTACCCTAATTTTGGGTAACCCCCCAAAGTTGGCGAGAAACTCAAAGTATCACGAAGTGAGCCGTGCCTCTCCAAATCAGCCAGTAGCTCTTGCCGATCGGCTGACTCGAATCTGAAACGAGGTGTGCTGTGAGTTTAGGGTTTCGGGTTTAGGGTTTAGGGTGTGTGTGGCAGTTCTGCAAAATAATATTTGGGTTGTTCTTAAAATTAGGGCCCCTTGTGGTTGTACATTATATTACGGCACCTAATATTTAGGGGAACCTCAATGGGACCATAATTTTGGGAACTACCCATATAACCCTACATAACCCTCATATAATCCTATATACCCCTGTATAACCCCTATATATCCCTATATACCCCTACATAATTTTGGGAACTACCCATTTGAAGGCGAGATACTCCCGAACGCCGGCCGGATCGTCTTTGGATGCGGCGTCCACTGGTGCAGGAGCAGATGGTGAGCCTCACCACATGGCTAGATCCATCTCTTAAGTCATTGTGACCAGGGTCAAGGGGTTTAAGGTTTAGGGATTTAGGGTTTAGGGTTTAAGGTTTAGGTTTTTTTTTTCTTTTTTTCGGGCCTGTTTCATCCTGCAGTACGGTCAGAAGGCTAGATGAGCCAGGCCAGGTCCGCAATTTCGGAACCAACGGCAAGGTAGCACTTACAGCAAACCCACACAAACAACTGGCCCCAGACCAAACCAAAGCTCCTGGACCAGTCTCACCCAAGCACTCACCACACCAGTTTACCTTTTTGGGGATCCCCATAATAAGGATTACAATATATTGGGGTCTATATTGGGGCACCTTTATTTTGGGAAACTACCATATAGCAAGATACATCAAGCACCAGGTGTCAACTTAGGCACGTCTAGGGCTAAGGGTTTACTTGGAGGGTCAGGGAGACTTAGTAAGTAGGCTCATAGCCCCTATAACCCATACAGTAATCCCATTTATCCCCATTATTAACCTACTTACTAAGTCCCACTGACCCCCCAAGGGGCCCTAAACCCTAAACCCTAAACCCTAAACCAGCATCTGCGCCTGAGCTTCGGAAGGGGTTCCCAAGGAAGGAAAGCGCCACTGCATGACCGAGGACAGCGAGGGCGGCAGCAAGGAGGCCAGCAGGCGCCAATCTTCGCACACTGCGCCTCGAGGCAAAGGCCAGCTTCTCGGCTCCCCAGGCTTAATATTGAGGTTATATGGGGATAATGGAAAAGAAAATGGAAACTACTATAATGGGTTGTATAAGGATTATGGGGATTATATTGGGGTTATATGGGATAATGGAAAAAAATGGAATCAATTGGAGATATTATGTAGGGATTTTAGAGTATATATAGGGATTTTATGGGGATAATGGAAAAGAAAATGGAAACTACTATAATGGGTTATATAGGGTTTAGGCTAGGTTCCCCAGTAACCCATTCAGTACCCTTTTTCCTACTGTTCAGCTTTAATAGGGAAACCCAAAATAAAAAGTGCAAAGGGTACTACTGGGGTACCTAGGCTTACACACTACCATTGCTATCGTTATAACTACTCTCATTCTTATTATTACTACAATTGTTCCTTGCCTTGATTAATGGAATTCCATCACTCTTATTATTAATCTTCTTACTGCTACTGTATTATTACTATTATTGATTACTATAATTGCTATCATTTTTACTAGTATAATCATTGCAGCTCTTACTATGTTGTTGTTGCGATGCTTATGATTACTGTTACTATTCTATGATCATTATTACTATAATTGCTAAATACTATTTTTAGTATTGTTATTGCAATTATGCTATTCTCATTCTTATTATTATTGCTATTATTATCATTACCATTATTGCTGGTAATGTTAATAATGTTACTACTACCACTACTACTACTACTACTCCTCCTCCTCCTCCTACTACCACTACTACCACTACTACTACCCAACTGCCCCTCACCAGCAGCGAGGGCTGGAGTAGGTTGTGCTCGTTTTGATGGCTTCTGCGTTTTGCTTGTTGAGAAGCCCAACTGAGACCTGCCTCCGCTTGCGCTCAATGGCGCGCATCATAGTGTCTCTGTGCTCCATGGCAGCAAACACACCTGACGGCTACGCGGACGATTAAGTTCCGATTGTGCGAGACTGTCTGAGTTGGTAAACTTGGCCTTACTGTGCTTATGGGCATGCCACATTGCGAGCCATGTCAAAGGCTGTGCGCATTGCCCGACATTGGCAAAGCTTTGAGCCAGAAGCGGTAACAGCCACGGTAATAGGGAGCATAACCCCAACCATGGAAATGCCTTATGTCCTGGCTGGGCTTGCTTCGGTAGAGAATTGTGGTGCGAAGTGTTTGATGTGGGATAGTTGCATAGTTCACAAGCAATTACCACATATTACCACGACCAAATTCCTTAAAGTCAACGTGCCACAAAGGCTTTGTCCGTAATACTGGGCATCAGACCAAACTACACCCTAAACCCTAAACCCTAAACGACTGAACAGGGTTACATCCGGGAATCTGAAGTGCTCACCTTCGGCCTCCTGATTTTCCAAGTTTCTGGAGGCTGGTAACCTGCTTTAAGGTTTTGCGGCGTTCCAAGACAATCTGTGGGGTCTTGCATGCTCTTGCGATCAGAAGCCCACTGAGAGTGACTGCTTCATGCAGCCCGCTTCAACGCAAAATCCTATGACATGCCCAATTCCCAATTTTTCCATGAGATCTGCAAAAACATCACAACTGTAAGTCCTGTCTGGTGCTTTCTGGCTATCCGTCTGAGTGCCAAAACGTCTCGTCCACAGGCAGATCTGCTACCTCCAGAGCTGACAGTACTTCGCACACCGCCGACTTTGTCACTAGAGGCTCCGGCATCTCGCAAAACGAAGATTCCGCGACCCCTGGATGAGGCGTTTGGCTTGACCTGGCAGCATGTCTTCGTATGCGCACAGCGGGTCAGCCCATGCGGGCCCCAACAGCATCCTGCACTGGGCAACGCACAATCCAAAGACCGCCCTTCCGTTGATACGTGTCGAGGAACTCCTGAGGTTTCAGAACTGCAACTTGGGGGTAGCACAAAATTCGGGGTATCTTTTTGCGGGGTCCCAAGAATAAGGACCGTAGTATTTGAGGGTTCATATTGGGGTCCAATAATAGTTATCTCCATTTTCTTTTCCATTATCCCTACATAACCCTACATTACCCTATATGAGACCCCTATATAACCCATGCGGGCAAGAATTGTCGCAGATATACCAGTTGCTCCTGCATCTGCCCAGGAAGCACCTCAAGGGCAACAGCACATGGTATCTTCCTAAAATAGGTGTACCTTTAAAGGGGGTTATAGGGGTTATATAGGAGTATATAGGTATATATATATATATATTATATGCATATATATATAGGGTTTAGGGAAGTATGTGGTAGTTTCCTATAATTGGGGACCCCCATAGAGGCCGGCAAATCCTATAATCCTTATTATAGGGACCCCCATAATGGTACCCCTAATTTTTGGGAAACCCTGATATGGCACCCACCCTCACAAGCAGCGGAGTCAAACAGAAGCTAACAGCTGAGAGCATCGCAAAAGTTTGCGGCACGAAATCAAATGCATCGCCAAATGTTTGTGCCTGGAAATTTGCAGCTTCCGTGTACGATATGCGAAGAGCAGGAACATGCGCATCATCTGATTTATAGTCTAAACTCCTAGTATCCCCCTTAAAAACCCCTATTGTAGTCCCCTATATAATTCCTTCCTTATAGAACCCCCTTTAAGGAGTTTAGACTACAGCTCATCTGGGCACCCTGCCATATCCCTGAAGTTCATCCACAGCCGATCCTTGCGAGTCAGCTCGGTCGACCTCAGAGTTCGATGATCTGACAGCTGCATGAAAATTGCTGGCTTATTTTTGGAAACCAACCAGATCAAGGAGTCCTTTATCCTTCTTTGTGTGGCAAAGCGCTTGATCTGATTTCAGAATTCTCCTGCCCGAAGTGGAAGGTCCTGCTTTCATTGAAGTTTGAGGACTCTCCCTGACTTCGTCCTGGCTGACTATGGTTTCGTGTAGCTAGAAGATTGCAAAATCTTGTCCCAAAAGACCAGCAAAACCCGAGTAAAGCCAGAAAATGACAAAAACAAGACGGGCAATGTAAACCGAGATTGAGATTTAGAGACCCTCCAGAGACCCGCTTCAAACAGATGCCCCCCCCCCCGAAGTTTCTCAAGCTTTGCATCCTATGCTGCGCACACTGGCACTCCAGGTTTGTTATGGGGACTCCCAAAAAAGGAACAGCTAATATTTGGAAACCTTTACCAAGGGCTTCTGCCTCCCAAGGTCGATGAGGATCACAAGATGCCCAACAACTTACCTTCCCAAGCTTTTGCCTTAGTCCTCCGCCAGCCATGTTCCTACCCTCGCGACTCTCCCAGAATAGTAATAATAATAATAGCAATACTAATAATCGTAATAATAATAATAACAGTAGTAATAATAACAATAATAATAAGAATATAAATAGTTCAGTTTCGGCAGCTCCGAACCTCCTCAACCCTCACCTCCCAAGCATCCAACTCCCCAAGCTTAAACTGGGTTGCTGTTAAGGAACTTAAATTAAGTCACTATATTGGGGAAACCCTATTATTTACTATATATACCCATTAAGGGAACTTAATTTAAGTTCCTTAACAGCAACCCAGTAAATTCCCCATCCGCCCCCTTGGCGGCCCAACCTCTTTGCGTGATTCCCCAAAGCGCCTACCCCACCACTCCAAATACCACTTCCCGTCCGAAGACCCCACTCTCGGCAAAACAGCAGGAGTGGAGATAGGAATCACCAGGATTGCATCCACTGAGTCCAGAACCCAGGGAAGTGGTTCACCCGCTGAAATTCATTCATTTCCTGCCACCAAGGCGGCTCTTGCTGCAAACCCTAAACCCTAAACCCAGAATTCCATTGGCGACCTGGTAGGCAGAGTCGCGGAGGCCGGGGCCTGACCACTGGATAAGCCAGTCCTCGCAAACTGCAAAGCACTTGTACGCTAAAAACCCAAATATAACCCCAATATTACCCCAATATTACCCCAAAAAAACCAATATTACCCCAACATTATCTAAATAAGAAGTGCCAGGTAGATCTCCATGACCGTGACACTAACAAAGGCACCAGCCTGAAGTTCTAACATGCTTTGCAATGTACTGCATACCACCCCCTCCTTTTAAGGGCCATAATATTAGGATTCATACTATAATCCCTATTAAGGGAGGGCAGTAGGTAGAAATGGTGGCTGTCCCGCCCAGTCGTCTGAGTCATGCCGTTGGTCAGCAGGGTGTCTCTAACGACCGGGGCCTGAAAGATGGCACAAATCTCTGCTCCAATTGTACTATAATCTAAACTCCTGAAAGGGGGTTATATATCCAAAGTCCTATCTAAACTCCTTAAAGGGGGTTATATAGGGGATTATATGGGGGAGTACTATGGGGGTTGTTAATGGGGATACTAGGAGTTTAGACTATACCTCAATTGACCATGGGTGCAACCTAGCGGTGCCTCCGTATGCTCAATTCTGAAAGATGGCGTCAACAGGGACGAACCTTCGGTTCATGCAATGTTGTGAACCACGCCGGGCAACAGTTGCAAAAGCATCTCGATTGCTTGCCACTACCTGACTTGCTGCCCAGAACCAGCCAATGGGCCATACATGCCCAACGCAAACGGAAACTGTGTATATACATATACATGTTAGGGCTATATAGTAGTTAGTATATAAGAGATATTGGGGTTATATAGGGATAATGGAAAAGAAAATGGAAGCTACTATATCTGAGGCTTCCCACAGATTTTGCTGATGGCCTCCTCAAGTCAGATGCAATCTCACAAGCATACCACTCCCCCAATTTCCCCAGTTCGGACCTGGCTTGCAGCCAGGTGTATAGGACTTTATGTGGAGATATGTCAGATCCATTGAAACGGTGGATGAAGGAAATCTCCAACCACTTAGGATCCCCTATGCCCTATGCACTGTATTTGCCACGGTATAAGTTGTATAAGATTGTGCAAGATTTCCTCCATCCACCGAATGCATGCCGAATGGAGCATCACGCAACCAAAATGTGCAGCCTTCTTGAGCTTCGTGGCCGGAGCCTTGAAATGGAGGACGCCCAGCTCCTGAAAACACAAGCTGTCAACATGTTAGGGGGTATATTATCGTATAGTATAGTGCATTTAATATATTATAATAAATTACCATAGATTACCATAGGTTATAGTATATTCAAGTAGTATATAGTAGTATAATCTTTATGATGACACCCTAGGGGAGTTTCCCAAAATTAGGAGTCCCTTTCTGCAGGGTCCCCATAATAAGATCTAGAAGTATATTAGTGTCCCTCTTATTTCTGGAAACCCTAAACCCTCAACACAATATCTCTCAGGCCACAGGATGAGCGCGCAAGGAAAGTTCAAGCAGGAGCAACATCCTCCCACTCTGAGCCCAGATGCTTGACCTCAGCGTGAGAGCTTCATGTGGCTTCATAGGGGTTATACATAGGGGTTATGCAGGGTTCAGCGGTTTTTGGAACCATCATGGCACTCACTCCCATCAGCATTTTGAACTGCAAGCTGATCGTTTCCTGGGCCAGCGTTTCAAGTCAGGTCTTCTTGTTTGTTTACATCTCTTAGACTGTCCCGTATACCTCCGAAAACTTCGGAAAGCCAGCAGCATCAAGGCACGAAGTGAAACAGTGCTCGCATCGCAAGATCACGTGAGTATTCTTGAAGATTGAAACCGCAAAACCCCAATCATCCTGCCTGTTGCCTTGTCTTGAGCTGCAAAGCCTGCCTAGATCCAGTCCAGCAGACGAGGACATTCTCTAGGAGCCAGTTCATACACGGCTCTCTGATTGTCTGAGGCCGTTCTATGAATGGCTTCTGAAAGCAAGCGTATTGTGTTGCCACTAGTTTACTCTGAGGCCCAAGCGACTTCACGCAGACTTTCCCGAGCTTGACTGGCTATGCGGGCCTCGTAAGGATGTAAAGAAGGTTTTCCTTCTGACCCCAAGTAATTCTCAGGCCAATCCTTCGGTTTGTGTTACACCGCTGGCCTCTGAATCTTCATGGCCGTCGTCATCATCCGATTCATAGCCTGCTTTTCAGTTCAAGAACACCACATGGCAATTTCCCAAAATAGGAGGACCCCAAGATATACCCTTATATACTATAATCCTCATTATTGGGACCCCCAAAAGTACCCCTGATTTGGGGAAATCCCTACATTGGTCAACAGCATTGGTAGTTTGCCTGGCACATGCGGCCAGAATCTGCCAGAAGGCGGCTCCATCCTTCACAAAGTCTGGGCGAGATCAAAAACCGTGATCCGGTCCTTTAGGGGGTAGCTATAATTATAATGACAATAAAGATAACGGCAATGTTTATACGAACAGTAACTAAAATACTGGTAATGGTAGTAGTTGTAATAATAATAATGATAATGCTGTGAAGTGATGGAATCGGGACCGCCCGGCACCACATTCAAAGCAGCCAGCAATTGCAGGAGCCTCTGCAATGGCAAATGCGGTCTCTTGAACAGTTTGATGCAATGTCCTGATTTGTTTTGTTATACCTACTGCTGGGAAACAGCGGTGAATGAGAATCATATCAATCTTTTGTCTCGTTTGTAAATGCCACCTGGCACTGCTTGAAAACAGCTTTGACAATGTTGCTCGCCATGGTTCATTGTATCATGCCTCACAAAATGGCGGCAAAGGCATGCAACAACTCTTGGCTTCCTTTCCTGAAAAATGCTCATAAAGGCCCAACACTGAACATCAGGCAGCATGCTTTGAGTATGCAAACTGTTAAGCGTTGGATGACTCAAGGTACACCGGCTTCATCAGTTGCCGAACGCATGCAGGCAAACTGCTCCGAAGCCTTCATCCATATTTTCTCAAATGACTTCTTCAAACATATTGAAGCGTTGGAGAACTATGCTTCGCTGGCTATATGTAGGGGATAATGGAAAAGAAAAATGGAAACTACTATAATGGGTTATGTGCGGTCACATTTGTTCTTAGGAAATGAAACCCAGTTCTCAAACCGTGAAACCACTAAAAGCTGAGCTTGCTCTGCGTTCGTCCCAAGACTGGAAACTTTACCGTTACAAGGGCAGGGGGGGTCCAGCGTCCATCCACATGCCTGTCAAGCACGCATTTGCTTTGAATCCCCGCTGCTGCGCGGATTTCTTGGCTTTTAACTGCACATTTGCTGTCGAACTATGAAAATACAAGATGGGTTATACGCTTAGGGCCTCGTAGGGGTTTAGGGTGCCAGGATGTAGGTTTAAGAGTTGGATTTTGAAGTTCAAGAGCGAGGTTTTGGAGTTTTTACGGCTTGGGGGGCTTAATGGAGCTTATGATTGATTACTTAAGGTTCAAATTGTGAAGATCTAGTTTGGGCTTTATGGCTTGTGGTCTTACAGCTCAGGTGCAGAGTTTTTTTCAGGCATTGGGTTTAGGAGTTAAGGTTTTTTTGTGTGCAAGGCGCGGCAATGTGCTGGTGCGTACGGGTGATAGACAAGCGGGCCCACACCAAGGCCAACGAAAAACCCTTCCCACTGCAAACCAACATGCCCTAAACCCTAAACCCTAAGCCCATGGAGCCCAAATCCTGGAACCCCTCCTCATAGTTGCAATTTACCCTGAGGTTCTCAGGGTGCCCAGATTTGAACTGGGAATGGCTTCGTCTTTGGGCCGATGCAGACGTTCGGATACAGTTTGGGAGCGCCCCTGAAAAAAGAGCTATAATGGGTTATATAGGGATTAAAGGCTATATATTGGGGTTATATAGGGATAATGGAAAAGAAAATGGAAACTACTATAATGGGCTATTTAGGGTGGTACCCTTTAGAGGGCTTCGATTTGGCCAGCATCAAATTAGCTCGAGTGGCCTAGTTGGAGCATGTTGGTAGATGCGCAACATGCAAATGAAAATTTTGCTGCATGGGACTTTCCTTGGCTGAGCGCACAGGGCGCCTGGATATTGTTGACAAAGAAAAGCTTGTTTAGTGTGGGCGGTTGCCCTCATTCCACCACAAGCTCGGCAAAGCAGAATTCACGACTACACTTACGCACAAAGCCACACAGCAGATTGCCGCTAAGCACAAGCCCGGCCACCCTCACATCCCTGTGAGTCTTTAACTCCTTCGTCAAGTGCCTTTGTCCAGCGCATGCGCGCCTCAAGGTTGTTCTGGCCTCTTAAAGGGGCCACGCGGCAGACATGTGCGCTTATTCGTACCATCGAAATTCCATCATCTGTTTGCATGGAAAACTTCGATCGTGACCACATTGCTGGAGGCTAGCTAGCTAGCTAGCACATGTCCGAGCAATTTCCGAGAACCTGCATTTGCAAGCTCTATCATAGTTTTGACCTACAGCCTTCCTTGACCAAAACGCAGCCAGCAATGTCGCACTGTAGGTTCGATGAAGATCAAGCCGCAGTTACATTCTGGAAAAAATCCAAACACTAGAGCCCAGATTATCCGGTGACTTCCTGACACCTGTACGCGAATGGATTCGGCGGTCTTCTATTGGTATATAGTCGCCCTTGAGTAGATAGAATATGGCTTTGGGTATATTATAACAAGGTCCCCATATATCACATATTCTATCTACTTAAGGGGGACTATAACCCCAAAATATATACCCCATTGTAATATAGTAGTTTCCATTTTCTTTTCCATTATCCCTATATAACCCCAATAATATACCCCATGTTCTATCTACTTAAGGGGGGCTATAACCCTAAACCCTAAACCCTAAACCTTAAACCCTATACTATCCAGCAACCCTACGCCTCTTTGGCTTCAGCCCAGGATAAAGGGAGCCTTGCCCAATCCGTGTCCACCTTTGCCTTGCTCCACCCATCCACACTTAGGTTTTATTTCCTAGAGCTTAGGGTTTAGGGTTTAGTGCACTTCAGTGCATCTGCAAAACTTCCCTAATGGTAGTTGATCCGAACTCCTGCGCCCACAGTGGCCTTCATGGAAAACAACGAAAACAACCTCACCTACCTGTTCCCTTATAGACCTACCTGCACCCTAAAGGGTTCCTCCGCAGGACTGTCCTAAACCCTAAGCCCTAAACCCTAAAAACCTATATATCCCTAAAGAACCCCATAGAACCCCTATATCCCACTTGAAAGGTACCCCTAATTTTGGGAGACCCCCCGAATCACACTAAAACCCTAAACCCACAAGTACTGGCTGCAGCTCTGCACTTTCACAAGGCCGTCTCACAATGGGTGACTTCTTCGCCTAGGGTAGGACTGCACCTGGCCGAGAAGGCGCACCCTGCTTCAACCCCTGAACTCGGTTTAGGTATGTGTTTTAGGGTTCATGGTTTAGTATTTAGGGTTTAGGGCTAAAATTATATAGGCGTGTTACCCCAATAACGGAGAATGAAACTGAAAAACAAGACGGACAATGCAATGGAAATTGTGATTATTCAGGGTTTAAGCGGTTCCCTAAATTTAGGGTACCTTCTTGAGTATCCCCATAATAAGGACTGTAAATTATTGGAGTCTATATAATCGGAATTTAAGCTACAAATCTGATATGAGCTATAGCCTAAACTCCTAGTATCCCTCTTAATAAGCCCTGTAATGCTCCTCTTTAAAAATCCCCTATAGAACCCCACTTTAAGAAGTTTAGACCCTAAACCCTAAACCCTTAACCCTAAACCTTAAACCCTGAACCCTAAACCCTAAACCCTAAAACCCTAAACCCTTGGAGAGCCTTGGAGCCACCTCTCCAGCAACTTCAGCTGCCGCCCACCTCGTTCACACATGTCCCATGGGTTTAGGGTTGTAGGGTTTAGGGTTTAGGGTGTGGGAGAATCTGCAAAACCTCGAAGTCATGATAACATCCCCACATACCGCATATTCTATCTACTTTATGCAGACTCTAATTATGGCTCTGCCAGCCTTGATCCTGAAACAGTTCCGACTTTCCGCCTTTGCTAGCTGACATGAACCCCTGAGAAATCCACATCGCTGTGGTGGAGGATAACCTACCAAACCCTGAATCCTAAACTGTGGAGGATACGGAGACCAACCTGCGATTCCCAGCCCTTCTTCTCGCCATCTCTTTTTGGCTGAGTTGAGCGGTTTAGGGTTTACGGTTCTAGGGATGAGTCTGTACACATAGCAACATGGAAACATTCGCCATACGACCTGTGCAGAGATATACCCTGAGTCTCCAACAATGATGTTGTTGATGGGGATGAAGACCAGCTTGACAGTGTAGCCTGAGCAGCAACAACAGCTGAGCCGCTTCCACGAGTTTACCCACCAGAGATACGCTCTTCCCTTTTCTGCTCACCAAGCATGCGACCGATGAATCCCATGATTGAGAAGCCAATGGCGCAGGCAACTGCAATCTTCTTGAACTCCTACCAGCAGCAGAGCACATCATGAACTCAACTGCGTTTGCAATATCTTGCAATAACAAGAACAGTAATGATAGCAATAATTATAAGCAATATTAAAATAAGAATAACAATATTCACAATATAGTAATACTTAATACCCTATCATAACCCTATGATAACCCCAATATATACCCCCAAATTCCTATGACGCGCTGTGAAATACGAACAGGACTCTGCCAGTCTCCTTTGCATCAGGTTTGGTGCAACGCTGGATGAGGCGTCGAGAGTCCATGCCAAACCTCAACAAGATCTTAGATTGCATAGTAACCCAGACCCCTGATTAATAAACCCTCTCCCCCTAATGGGGATTATACTAGGGCTCCTAGTGACGAGGCCCGAAAAAGGAGGGGGTTTATTCATCAGGGGCCTACAGTAAGGATTGCATCGTAAATGCCAAACATGACGTCAGGCCGGTCATGAAGTTTCAGTTATTATAATTGGCATTACTATTGTTCTTGTTGCTATTATTAATGATATTGTTATTGCTATTGTTGATATTATTACTAAAGCTATTATTGTTGTTATCTTGTTGTTAAAACTACTACAACTATTATTGCTGTTATTTTTGTAGCATTTCTGACGGGGCAAACGTTCAGGCCGCAGGCTCGATAGCGCCCTGCACGCAGTAGCCTTCAGCCCGAAGATGCAGCGGCCCAATAATAGCAATAGTAGAAATAATAGCAATCACAATACTTGTAATAATATAACAGTAAGAAGAATAGCAAACCTTAACACAAATACTAAGGTAATATTAACGATAGCAGGAAAATAGTAGTAGGAATAATAGTAATAGTAGTAAATTCAGTGCAGCTTGTCCGAGAGCTGGGCCCACTGGGTTGTTCTTGTCCGTAAGGAATGGCATCGCCGACCTTCCCATCAAAGAACTCTCATTGCTGCTTTGACCGCGTCCATTGTCCCCATAACCCCAAAATTCTGTAGTAGTTTCCATTTTCTGTTCCATTATCCCTATACATTCCCTATATATTCCCTA